TTTAAGTGATCAACACTGATTTCCCATCTCTCTATACAAATTTTTTTTCTTCTTCTTAAGATTTTATTATTATTATTAATAATTAATTAATTACACATTTATTTTAACTAAATAGTTTTTTCTATGATAATAATAATAATATTAACCAAAATTAAAAAAAAAATTTTTTTCTTTAACATTAATTGCAACCACACCTTGATTGTAAAAAATTTAATTATTATATATATTTTTTTTTTTTTTTTACAAATCAATAAGAAATAATCTTATATATAAATTGCTTTAACAACAAATATAAGTGTTATTATTATTATTATTATTATTATTATAATTAACAGGTAAATAATATTAATTTAAAAATCTATTTTTTTTTTTATGATTGCATCTGTAATTAAAATAAACCCAGTCTTTTAAGTCCAGACCTAAACGTTTGTTTTTTATTATCCCCACTCCACGAATTTGATTTAACACGAAATTTTTTAAGGTCGTTTTCGTGTTTGGGATCAACCATGGGTTGATAGAAACAAGGTTCGCATAATGATTTGTGCGTTGAAAAAAATGATTTGTAACCGCCGTGAAGTAGGTACACTTCCGGATAATGAAGAGATGGATAATTGCTAAGATTTCTGTCGCATCGACGTAGGAAGCGATACCTGAAAAAAAAAAAAAAAAAAAGGTAACGTTTTAGATTTTATTAGACATCAAAACCAAAAAAACTTTAGTGATTAACAACGTGTCACTTACAAAGCAGGTCCTCTTTCGAGAGAAAATTCACAATGAAATATTAAAATATTTCTTTTTTCATTTAAACCATCATTCTCATCGGAAGAAGAAGAAGAAGAAGGATCGGCCGCATCGAGAGGTCCCTTATTATCAAAAAATTCTTCTTCCACTTGTTCCTTTGTATATAAATTAATAGAACCTATTATGTGTCCACCATCGTATTCGTAAGGATACCTGAAAAAAAATATAAATAAATAAATGGATTTTTCGTATTTATTATTATTATTATTATTGCTACTACTACAATACAAACCTGCAATCTATTATTTTAAATGAATTGACTTTGGCATTAAATTCTCCATTAATTAAACTTGCTAAAGTTTCCGATGTTATGCTTTTCAAATCCTCATGACGACCGGAAACAAATGGCAAAGCATATGGCCGTGAAAAATCTGCTATTAAATCAGCTGTAATAAATTGAGAATAAACAATAACAATAAAATTTTTTGAAGGAAAATTCCAGAAAAAAAAAAAAGCACAAAAATCTCACATTTATGAAGCGTGAGTGCTAAAGATGAGGCAGCAGTTTCGGATATGCTTCTTTGTAACTTGTACCTAGATTTATATGCGTCTTTAAGTACTTTATCAGGTATCGTGTGTAATGAATTCGATTTTCTTCTCTTGCAAGAATTAGAATCTATTTCCCTGGGTCTTTTAAAGGGTAACTTTTCCCCGGGTGATTGTTTCGATACCGTTTCGTCCCGGAATAATCCCACTCTAGCCTAAAAAACATTTTTTATTATTATTATTAATAATAATAATAATAATAATTAAATATTTTACTTTTTTTTTTAAATATATATATATATATATATATATATATATATATATATATATATATAATTACTCTGCTCGATGCTGGAGACGACGTGTAATTTTCCGCCAATGAATTAAATCTACGAAGTGGGGGTCTGCTACAATTTCCTTTTTCCTCTTCGGTTTTCCCTCCGTTTGAATTTCCCAGTAGTGGACCTTTCAATAAATTTCCCAAACCCATGGGTAACTCTTCATTTTCATCCGTGAATGATTTTTCCAAATCCCAAACATCAAGAAATCCATCATCGAACGAACCAGGAAAACCAAAACTTAAAGTATTTGATTTTTCTTTTTTATTTTTATAATTGGAGAATTGTAAAACTATCGTTCGAAGAATGGACATTTTCATTTTTTGTACTCTTCAGTAGTGCTAGTGCTTTTTCTTGTCCAGAAGAACTCCAGAAGAAGTTTTAGATATTTGTGGTAAATATTCTTCGGCAGCATAACCGCTATCCCTAGATTCGGTATCGTGTTGTTCAATGGGTCTGGAATAAGGACTCATTTCAGGATGAGAATTTTTTAACGGGCTCGATTCTTTTTGTATTTGAGCCATCATTTTATTATTGCCATCTTGTCCCACGTCACTGTTTTCTAATAAAGATCCACTTGGTGCTGAATTCATTCTACGTATTAAACTTCCACTTCTTACGCTTAATCGAAATGAATTTTTTGTTAACCTGTAATTAAAATAATAATAATAATAATTATTGGCATTGATGTAAAAACTGTATAAACATGATTTTTAAAAAATGGCCAGTAAAAAAGAAAGTAAAAAAATATTTTTTCGCTTGATAAAAACTAACCCTTGGTTTATAATAATAATAATAATAATAATTGTTTAAATAAAAGAAAGGGGTCTTCAAACAGCTGCTTTATGCCCACAGTCAATGTTAAGTAAAAACAACAATATATACAATTGAATGAAGAACAATATTGTTAAAAATCGATAAAAGTTTTATGTACGTTTTGTAAAACATTTTTTATAAATTTTAACTGTGAAAGTATATTTGAAAATAAAAAAGGAACCGCACTATGGTGGAATTTTAAAGGTTTTTAAAAAAAAAATGTCAAAAAATTTTTAACCGAAATCAATTTTATATTTATAAAAAAAAAAAAAAACCTGATTGAAATACAGTAAAATAAGTTATTCTACAACGAAAAATAAACCTTGTACTTTTTTATAACAATAAGAAAGAGAGAGAGAGAAAAAAAAACAATGGATTTAAAAAAGAAGAAAAATTTTTACGTTATAACTGAATTTTTAAATCTACCTGAACATAGGGAATCCCCTGTTTTACGCCTTTAAAGATTGAGAGAGAGAACAATAATTGAAATTATAATTAAACCGTTGAGAATTTTTAAGGCCCTAAATCACATGTATTTCATGTTACAAATAAGGCAACCCCAAAAAGTTTTGGATCGGAAAAAAAAAAAAAAAAAAAGAAAAGAAACTTGAAGACGGGTCAGGGGGTTCAAAGGAAACGTTATACCCCGTCTTAAAGATATAAATTAATCTAGTTCGTTTTATTTCCATCATCTTTTTCCATTTCTAATGTTGACATTTAAGAAAAAAAACTTTAGAGAGTAACCAACCAACCAACCAACCAGTTCAAATCCAAAAGAATTTTTATAACAAGAACTTAATTTTAATTTTATTCCTCTGGATAGGAAAAAAAAAAAAAAAGGGAGAGACCCAGGTGCAAGCAAAATCTATTGCCACGTGCCCTTTCTCACTCACTTACCAGAACTATTACCATCATCTGCTATACCAAACTTTTATTATTATTCATAATGAAAGTCACCAACGGCTTTTACTATATAAAAGGGCTCTCTTACTATCAACGACCCGATTTATACGTCATGCAACATGAATTCTTTACAATAGAAAAATTTATTACAATTTTTTTTTTTTTTTGTAAATAAATGAACCCTATGCTAGTCGAACTAATCTTAGCGCCAACAGCATTTTCAACAGCATTGCAACAGCAACACAATATTTTCATATATTAAAAAAAAAATAAAAAATAAATATTAATATTACTGTTATACAATTAGAACCTGATTTACCATAACTATATTCTATACATTAGGTACCTTTTAAAAATAGTGACTACTAAAAACCAATTTTTTTTTTTTTTTAAATAATAGCCTATTTGAAAAATTCTAACAATGAATAATAATAATAATAATAATAATAAAAATTGATTAAAATGAAAACCTTTCTTGACAAAATAATAAACCTTTTATTAAAAATGACTCAATTATTTTTAAATTTATTTTTAGTTTAAAAAAAAAAAAAAAAAACTTATTATTTATTATTTATCATTACTTATTAAATAAAAGCTTTAATATATATAATTTCTTTTTTTATTTAAATATACTGTTATTAATAAACGTCCTAAATTTTTAATAAAATATTATCAAAAATATAATTTGGAATTTTTTTAGATGAATTAGTATTGATTTTTTTTCATCAAGCATTTGGGGAGGGGGGGGGTATTTAATTAAGGTTTCAAATCAAAATAAATTTTAAATATTTAAGTTAAGTCCATAAAAAAGAAGCCCCCCCCAAAAAAAAAAATTAATACTTTAAAGAAAGATTTAAACTTTATCCAAAAACTATTTTTTATCACTACTTATGAAATTTTAAATATTAAATGAATTTTCTACATTATAATAATATTTTAAATATGGTTAACTTACCTAGGAGTGCTCATTTTTCCTGAAAAAAAACAAAAAATGAAAAATTTTTATTTAACTTATATATATTTTTCATTATTTATATTATATATTGAATTAATAAAATTTAAATTTGAGGGAATGAGTGTAACCGCATGTACAGAACACAATAATTAATGATAACAATTTTTAATTTAAATTTTTGAGTAAAATTAACTTGAGATTTTATAACAATAAATATTTAAAAATCTTTTTAATGTTATTTTAAGGAAATTTGCATAGTTGAAAGTAAATTTTTTTTTACAAAATAGAAAAATGATACTATATAAATTCAATCATATGAAAAATATAATTACTAATAATCTACCTGGATTCTACAAGTACACAAGATTAAATATATAAACTAAATATAAAAATTATCATTTAACTGTATTTTTTCAAATGAAATTTATACTTCAATTGTATAAACAATAAAAAAAACTAAAAATCTACTTGGATTCTATGAGCACAAGAGTAAAAATAAAAACTAAACTTGATAATTTATTAAACATGTGTTCATGTGACAAAAAAATACTTAAGTTAAGTCTTTAAATAATTATTATATGAAATATTAAGGTTTTCTTTCTCATTAGAAAATTTATATTAAAAAAAAAAATGAAATACTCACCATCTGATGTATCAAATAAACTATTATTGCTGGTTGGAGTATTTGGAGTCAAACTAGACATTGATAATCTTCTTCCATTTATTTTATAACAAGGTGTAGATGATAGTGAAGATTCATTAAAATTTATTGTTAAATTTCCCATTGGAGATAGACCGAGAGGACTATCAATCATATCAGCAAGAACTTTATTATTTGCACCGTTCATTATTCTTAACAATTAAATTTCAATGAAACAGCAATTTCAAATTTGTATAAAAACTGAATATCAGCTATACAAACTCTTCAGTCTTTTGAATTAACCTATAAAATGTAAATGAGTAAAAGTTAATGAACCTTGGAACAGAAAAATGCCTTGCAAATGGTTTATTATTACATAAATATATTAAACATCATCATCATCATCATCCATTTAAAAAAAAAAAAAAAAAAAAAAAATTAAAATGAGAAAAAAATGGTTAAAAATTTTCAGTTAAAGAAAATATATGTATATATCTTACCTTATAATTAAAAAAATAATATAATTTGTTCATAATAATTAACTAAAATTTCAATAGAATTAATTCATTCCGATTACGGCATAAGATGTTTTTAGACTCCGGTTCACTTGTCCGTTAAATTCCCTCGATGCTTTTTATTTAATCGTTGCCAACTTTTCAACTTTTATTCCCTCTTAAAGTTCATTTAAAACGGTGATATATGATTATCCTTATCATTCATTAATGAATTATATTTTTTAATATAAATAATTTATAAATTAAACATTAAAAATAAAATTTCAATTTAAAATTATTTTCCACACCACTTTTGACCTTACAGTCCTACAGATTTTTCACGACTGAATTTAAGCATGTATGTTAAAGTGAAAAATAGGCGGTTCTATCTTCACTTTTACTTTCTTATACTTAACTTACAGGAATTTCACTTTTTTAAAGTAATCGTAATTTAGTATTACGTATACAGAAAACTCTCCATTTTTTGCAACAACGTTTCATTTATTGGCGCGGAGAAATTTTCTATAATTGAAAACGAAAAACTTTGATAACTTTTCATTTTTGTAAAATAACATATGATTTGTTTTTATTTAAAAAAAATTATTTTTGTGGCATGAAAAAGCCATATAAATCATGAGAAATATTAACAATGTAAGTTTTTGAGATTGTATAGCATTTGTTTTTGTTGCAATTTTAAAACTTTGTATAAAAGTTTAAATTAAAATAAAATGTCAAAAACGATGACACTTAATTAAATAACTTCTTTGAAATTTTGCCAATATTTTCCCGAATGCCAATTTCATTAAATAATTATAAATAATATCAATAGCCGAAGTTCTTTTATACATGAAATGTTAAGAATGTTCTACCATTCTTCGACATTCAATATGAAAAAACCCAAATTGGTAACCGATTATTCTTACTTAAAGTGATTAGTGATCCTTGACATAAAATTGGTATATCATAAGGTTAAAATTATACAGTGAACTGTTTAAAAAGAAAAATATTAGCCAAAAATATTTTTTAATATGTTAAATAGAAATTAAAATATATATTTACATACATACATACATGGTTATTTATAAAAAATAATACTACAATAAATCGCTAGCTATAATATTTTATAATTAGTTAATTCTTAGAAAAATGTGTGGAATCCTTAATTGCAAATGAAAATTTGAATAATTTTTTTTTCTTGACATATGTAGCCATTCTATGCAAATTTAAAAAACTACCTAATTTTTAATAAATACAGGTTACACACTACTTAATTATTTATTTTTTTAAATAATCATTTTCTATTCTGTGACACATTTCGAGTAAATTTGTAAAACTTTTTATAACTGATTGCAAATGAGTAAAATATGAAGGACTGCTTAAAATACTGATAATATGTCCATAAACTAAAGCATCTAATTCTGTAGGTAAATTTCCAAAAAAATACGGATTACCATTTAATCTTTCCGATAAATTATGAAAACAATTTTTTACATCTTCCAAAACCTAAAACCAAACCAAAATAAAAATTAATTAGTATTACAAAAGTTTATGACAAATCCTATTTAAAAGCATTAAACATGCACAAAATTATGATTTGATACTTAAAATTTAAATTTTTTATGAAAATACTATAATTTGATACATACTTGATCTCTTGTTTTTTTAGTCCATCCTAAAACATCTAATTTGTTAAGAATTGATCGTCTTTTTTGCCATGTAATTATATAATTTAAGGGCCATGAGAAAATGGAACTGTATCGATTCCATGTAAATGAATCATAAATATCTTTTTCAAACCAACAACTATAAAGCTCTGCATTTAATAAAACATTATTTACTAAAGACATATATGCTCTCATGTCTCCCCACTCTGGTTTATCCATTTTTTGACTTGCACCAATTCCTTTAGCACTTACAAATGATACAATTGATTCAAATTCAGCCACAACAAATGCTCCACATTTGATAAAGGGTAATTTTCCTGAAGGTGACATAAACTCAGAATTATACTTATTGACAACATCAAATTTAAGTGAATTGATCTTGAGAAAAACCTGAGCGGCTAAGCAATTAGCAAGATCCGGTAAAAGAATTTGTTTCTTTTCATCTTGTTGGTAAAGTTTTACGTCTTCGGGCCATTGTTGCTGGCCTTAAATTACAAATAAATACGAATAACAGAATATTAATAAATTCCATTGATAGCTTGACAATAACTAAATGACAGTAAAATTTACCTTCTAATTCCAAGGTAAGCGAATCTGTTAATAAAACGGACGGCATCTTCCAAATAGAATTATATTTTTCATGGGCAAAATGTTCGGCAAAATATGCAATTCCTCCGCATATAGCAATGTTGTCTTCCATTCGTTATTATGATAACAAGGAATGCCAACATAAAAACTTAACAGCTGTAAACTATTAAGTAACAACAATTCAAATCCCAAAATGGTACCATAAAAATGATTAGATAATTTTAACGCATTTCCATTTTATTTTTAGAATACACTTTTTTTAAAACTTAGTTATTAATGAATAGTTCCAGGCTAATGTTCTATATTAATTTCAAATCAACGAAAACTATTAATTTGAATTTTTTTTTTTTACATTATTAAACTTCATCCGTGATAATTCATTATAGGTTTTCATTAAATATTTAAAAACAAAATGAGGATTTTAATTTGATAATTAAAAAATAAATATTTTCGTATTGAATAATTCCGTCGGTGTTTCAAATTTATTTTGAATTTCTTAAATTAGAAATGAGTACACTTGAAAATTTTAAAATCATCCCATGTCCTCCTCCTCTTCCTTCATTGAGCGCACTTCAGAATGTTAAGGATAATTATAATCAACATGAAACTATAATTTTACCGGCAGAAAAAGAAATTGATTTGATATTGGAAAGAATATTAGAAAAAGAAAAATTAGAAAATATTTTTTTCAAGTGTAATGTTTTTTTGGAACCTCAAATTCAAGTGGGCCCCAAGTAAGATTTTTGTGTAAATTAAAAACTAATTTTTTAAAAAGAAAATTGAGAAATATTTAATTATTTTAAAATTATTTTAGATGTGGTTTAACAGCACTTAGCATTGCTACCTCAATTACTTCAAATAGTACAAATGTAGATAAAATATTTCAAAAGGCTTTGGAATTAGGTTATACCAAACAGGGAGAAATATTCAAAGTCGAATATTTAGCAAATCTAGCTGAAATCTGTTGTGGATTAAAAGCAAGAGTAATAGAAAATGGATTAAATTCTCATTTAAATTGTATTATATACAATTTATTAAATAAAAACTTACTGTTGGTGCCGTATCCTTTTAATTATTTCAAAACTTTTCAGTATTTTTTATGTCAAAAAAAAAAAATAAAATAAATAAATTTCTTAATTTTTTTTTATTAGATACGATTCAGATTGTAATCATTCCCCTTGTTGTAAAAAAGGTTACAAAGCTCACTGGGCAGTTATAAGCGGTTTTGTAATATTGTCTGATAACAAAAATCAAAATGATTCAAATGAATCTCCAGATTCTGTTATTTTAGAATCGTTTTGTGATTTACCCTTATGCGAATGCATCACAAAAAACCCATTAAATAAAAATGAAATTTTGCAATTAAACTCTGATTGTGGAAAAATAATTATATCCAAAAATTCTCATTTTCATAATACAAACAAATTTGAAAGAGGAAAAATTTATCTAATTGGTAGACAGGGAAAAAGTAAGCATATCGGTATTTGGCCATTTGACGAATTATCAAAAAGCAATGATAATTTAATTTATTTTTCTAATAAAAGAAATAATAATGATTTTGTAATACCCGAAGGAGGTCCTGCTCAAGGTTTGAAAGGGAAAGCAATTATATTAGAAATTTAAATTTATTTTATTCTGATTGTAAAATGATAACTTAATAATTAAAAAAATTTATAAAGTTTTTTTTATTTTATTTTCAGAAATCTCCTAAATCTTCTTTGTCGATTTCAAATCATTAACAAATTGAGAGAAAAAACTTTTCTTTAAACAAACAACAACAATTAATGATAATTATATGCATGTTTTGAAACACCAATGTCAAATTAAAATCAATATAAGTCATTGATTACTTAAAAGTTGCCATTAGTAACAAACTAACCGAAAATAAAAACACAAGAAATGTTTCATTATTAAATTTAATATATAAGTAATTCAGGTACATATTTTTTTTTTTTTTTGGTTTGAAATTGTTATAGTTTGAAAAAAATATTAGTATAAAAGTGTTTAATAATAATTTTATATATATAAGTTAGTCTTATTTATTACAAATAAGAATTACATACTTAAAGAAGAAATATAAAGTGCAATTTTTATAAAACAAGTTTAGAGTAATTTTTTAAATGTTATTCATCGAGAAGAATAATCGAGTACCTACAAATGTTTTTACAATTTAACAAAAATATAATAAAAGTTATTAATGGAGTCTTTTACTTATAGAAGTAATTTTGTATCAGATATGCTTAAATTGTTTTCTAGGTAAAAAAAAAAAAAAAAAAAGTAATAAAGTAAATAAAATTATGCTAAATTATAAAAAGAACATGTTTAAGATAATTGTGAGAGAGAGAGAATGGAAAAAAATTATATTTTTTGATATTTATTTCAGACCTAGAATTTCACCCAGACTAATGGAAAGATATGAAAAACTTGGAAAACTTGGAGAAGGAAGTTACGGTTTAGTTTTTAAATGTAGAAATAAAGAAACAGGACAAATAGTTGCGATAAAAAAATTTGTCGAATCAGAAGATGATCCAATAATAAGAAAAATAGCATTAAGAGAAATAAGAATGTTGAAGGTAAAACCAAACCAAATAATATTATTAAAAAAGGTTAATTGATTGATAACTACATTAGTTTTTCTTTTTCTCCCCCTCTCCCCCCACCTCGCCACCTCCTCCCTCACAATGTAGAATTTAAAACATCCGAACCTTGTTAATTTATTGGAAGTGTTCAGGAGGAAAAAAAAAATTCATTTAGTTTTTGAATATTGCGATCATACTGTTTTACACGAATTGGAAAAATATCCCAAAGGATGTCCAGAACAATTAACTCAATATATAACCTGGCAAATACTTCAGGGTATTGCCTACTGTCATCAACATTCTTGCATTCACAGAGACATAAAACCTGAAAATATTTTATTGACGTCACAAGGAATTGTTAAATTATGTGATTTTGGTTTTGCTCGAATGCTAAGTTAATCAATTTTATTATTATTATTATTATTCATTTAATAACCGAGCCGTTGTTTAATTATTATTATTATTTTTTTTGTTAAAGATCCAGGAGAAAATTATACGGATTACGTTGCAACAAGATGGTATAGAGCACCAGAATTATTAGTTGGAGATACCAACTATGGTACTCCTGTTGATGTTTGGGCAATAGGTTGTGTATTTGCCGAACTTATACGTGGGGAGGCTGTTTGGCCTGGAAAATCAGACGTCGATCAATTGTACCTGATAAGAGCAACGCTAGGTAAAGGATGTGATTAACGTAAAAATTTAAAATTTCTTTCACGAAACGAGAAAGGAAATTAATAATGATATCGTTTAACAGGTGATTTGATACCCAGGCACATGCAAATATTCAAATCAAACGAATTTTTCGCCGGCGTAATACTACCCGTACCTCATACCTTCGAACCGATTGAAGAAAAATTACCAAAACAACAAAATATTTATTCATTAGATTTTTTCAAGGCAAATATGATTTCTTTTGTTTTTCGTTTTGTAATAAAATTATATAACCTTTTTAAACCTGTTTGTTATAGAAATGCGTAGATAAAGATCCTTCGAAAAGATGGACGTGCGAACAACTTTTACAACATCCATATTTTGATAATTTTCAATTAAATTTATGGCAAAAAGAAAAAAATTCGTTACAAAAAATCAGAGATAAATCAAAAGTATGTAATCTAAATCTCAATTATTATTATTATTATTATTATTATTTTACTATTTTTAGTTTGTTTTGTTTTCATTTTACCTTTTTTTTTTTTTTTTTGTTTAAATTTTAGGAATCTTATCAAAACAGTCCGACTACGACATTACCACAAATACCACTTTTAGAACTCAGTCCGAGAAATCCGGAAAATTTATCAAGAAATAATAAGAGTCACATTAATTTACCGACGATTATGTAAAAATCATCCGACATAATAATAATAATAATAATAATAATAATAATAATGATAATAAAACAATTTATATTAGTTATCGCGTATTATTTTTTCTAAATATATATTTTTGATATTGAAACTAAGCAGAAGAAAATTTAATGTTTCACTTATGGCTTAAAAATTCATTCATTTCATTTCTTTTTGCTTGATATATTTAAATTTGTTATTTGTAAAATAATTTATTTAATTATATATAGTTTATAATTATTAATTTTAAAATCATTTTAATTAATTATATAACCTTTTATTATCTAATATTACCGTAAAAAAAGAAAATTTTTTTTTTGTTTAAAACATTTTTTTTATTTCTTAAAAACGGTTTTTTTTTTTTTTTTTACAATCAATCATAACACTTACGAACAAATCTAACAAAATTAATTTTTATTAATCGATTTACAAACGTTTCATTTTTAACACTAAAAACTGAATCCCCCTTTTTTTTTTTGTTTTAGAAAAATACTGATTTAAAAATTTTCCACATCAAATCGTTTTCCGTTTCCGTTTTCATGTCGCGACAATTCTTTGCGTGCGCGCGCGCAACAATTTATAACAAAATAAATTAAATTTTCTTTTTTTAAGATTCTAATACGGAATCCGGTTTAATTATTTGATAAGTGATTAAATATTCCGGATACGCCTATAAAAATATTTAAATCGTTTGTTTGGATTTAAAAAAAAACAAAACAAAACAAAACAATAATAATAATAATAATAATAATAATAATAAACATAAAAGTTTTCACTTACCTGTTCTCCCCTGTAAACAACGTATTCGGGAAAGTAGAGACCGCCCGCACTGGGTCTCCCGACGACGGAATGATGTCCCGGAGGAGCGTGAGCCATTTTCATGGCGGAAAATTGTAGAAATGATTTCCCTAATGTGACCCGACACAAAATCAAATGTCTGAAATTTTCAAAAGTTAAAATTTAATATTATTATTATTATTATTATTTTGTTTTTTAAAAATTAGGTTTATACCTTTGACATATGTAACAGGATCTATCTTTGTGAGCTGGACAACCCGTTCCACCACCGATTCCATACACGTATTGATTACTTTTAGACGAATGTTCGGCAAAATAAATTCCAGCACCGAACATACCACCCATGTAAGCGTGCCTTTCGTCGAAACCTTTTTGAACAATGGCGTTAATGAATGGAGATCCGTGAAATAACATGCGTTCGTTACATTGATTTGAATTTTCGTCTGCGACTTCGTGTCGACGATGAGAATATCTTTCCCATAATTTTTTGTTTTGAATTTTTTGAATCTGTTTTTTTTAAAATAAAATAAAATTAAAAATTTGACGGTGAACATTTTAGTTCACGGTTGATTGATTGATTGATTGATTGACATACCCTAATTATATTGTATTTAGAAAAAATTCCACCGGATTGACCGCTATCTCGATGTTCTCTAACCGTTCTTTGCATTTCTTCTTCAACTGCCAAATATTCTTTGTCCCCCGACAATAAATCAACGAGTAAAGTACGGGGATTCCCCGAACCCGACCACCATCCGTCGGGACTCGAATTTAATTTTTCTATTCCTTTTATTATTTTATGCCTGTATCCGTAAGCGCTGATTCCAACTTGTTTTAAATCTTCGTGTGACATTTCTGCTAAAATATCTAGTGTTATTTGTTCTCGTTCAAATACTTCGCAAAGGTGTTCCAAACCGAGCCTGTGAAAAATTTATAAAAAATTAACCTGTAGCCTGTAGATTTTCATTTAAAAAACATTTACTACCCCCCCCAAAAAAAAAAAAAAAAAAGTAAAAAGTACCCTCGAAGAAATCCAGACAGGGAAGCGACACCGCTGTTGTTTTCGTGTTCCCCTTCCGTTTTAACCGTATTATTATTATTATTATTATTTACGCGTCCTTCTTCGCTAGATATCACAGTGGTTGAAGACAACGAAATAGGAAGAGATAAAGAGACTGAAGCACCGGAAGGCATGACCACAGTTTCAGACGCTGCCGGAGAGTTTGAAGATGTTAAATGTAAAGCGACTCCTTGTTGAAGAGTCATAGCATCTTGAAGAAGGCATTTTACGTCTTCTGCCGTGGCCAACTCTAGCGGAGTTTGACCTTCTTGATTTTTCAAAAACGGATCCGCACCGTGAGCAAGCTGATAAATACAAAGATTGTCAAAAAAAAAAAGTTTCCGACAGTCATCTTATTCTATCAATGACGGGTATTTACCAATAAAGCACATAATTGCGTTCTTCCTTTTGAGCGGCTTCGTGTAACGGTGTGAATCCCCATTTATCTGTCGCGTTTACGGCAGTGTGATATTTGATCAAAAGAGCTGCTATGTCTAAATGACCGTAGGAAGACGCATTGTGCAAAGGTATTAATCCACCCTTATCTTGAGCATTGACGTCGGCTCCATGTTCTAATAAAAGCTCGGCAACTTCTATATTATTATACCCAGCTAAATAAAGAAAATTAATAATTTTTAAATTTAATAATAAAGATATTAATAATAATGATAAAAAATTTCAATAACCTGCTAAATGCAAAGGAGTTGAATTTCTCCCTTGTGCGTCTCTGCAATTAATATTATCCGAGGAGATCAGTCTTTGTACCCGTGTAACATTTCCCTTTTTAGCCGCATCCAAAAGAGCCACGTTTCCTCGTAACAAATCAGCCACATCTTGATCTCCTTCTTTTACCAAGTCCAACGGAGTGGAACCATCGCGATTTTTTTTACTCGCATCGGCTCCGTGCTGAAAATTAAAATATTTAGCTTTCGTTAGTTTTTCGCCAAAAAAAAAAAAAAAAAAACTTCTTATTTTTTATTATATGTATTAATAATTTACTTACCTTGAGTAAAAGTCTGACGATTTCATATTTACCCTTGGCGGCGGCTTCGTGAAGTGGCGTAAATTTCCATAGGTCAGCTACGTTTACGCTAGCACCATGTTTAACTAATAATTCTGTTACTTCGTAGTGTCCGTACGAACAAGCATTGTGCAAAGGAACCAAACCACTTAAAATAAAATTTTACCGTTAGCATACCATATTAATTTAACGGTAAATGAAAAATAAAATAGTAAGTAGTCAGGTACCCTTTATCTTTGGCATGCACGTCGGCTCCGTGATCGAGTAAGTATTCGACGATGCTAACCCTGTTGTATCCCGATGCAAAATGTAGAGGAGTAGAATGCCTCCCATCTAAATCCTGACAATTAACAATTTGAGGATAACTACTTAGCAGCCTTTGAATAGCTTCCAAATCACCGGATTTGGCAGCTTCTAATAATTGGCATTCGGAATCTGAGCTTCCGGAGGAAGGATCTTGAAAATGGAAAATTTTAATTAGTTGAAAAGCGGAAATAATAATGGAATTAAATTTTTAAAAATTAAGTAATTATAAAAGCACGTTTTTGATTATTTACCCTGTAATATTTTAGTGACATTTTCCGTTCCTAATTGAGCAGCTGTTAATCCTTGCAGTGATACAATTGAAAGGTCAACATTGTACGACATGAGTATTTTACAAGCTTGAATATTTCCATCTCTTGCGCATCGATGCAAAGCTGAAATTTTAAATCAAGCTAACTTATTTTCATAAGGCTAACACAATTAAATTTTTTTTGTAAAATAATAAAATTACCAGTTTGTCCCAAATCATCCAAAGCGTTAACTTTTGCTCCGTGACGTAAAAGTGCATCCATGACGTCGTAATGTGACTTGTCGGCGGCCAAATGCAGTGGAGTCAGCAAATTTTTATTTTTATCGTTTAAATTTGCACCTTTTCTTATTAGACTATCTAACACCTAAAAATAAAACAGAAAAAAAAATAAAAAACAAATACATTTTTAAAAAAATTTCTTTAAACAAAAAAATAAATGCTCACTTGTTTTCTTTTAGGATAAGGAGATGCAGCAACGCAATGAAGTGGTGTGTCACCAGTGTAAAGGTGTTTAAAATTCACTAATTCACTTGACAAATATTTTTTTACTCTAGCAGGATCAGTTTGTCGACAAGCTTCTAATAAACAGTGACCTTTAAATTCATCTGTAATAAATGTTTTATTGTGTCATTTTCCCCGTCTCCATTTTCATGTATTTAAAAAATATTAAATTTAAAATTTTTAGACTCACGAATTAATTTTTGTTGTAAATCTCTAGTGGGAGCTACATCTATTGGAGATTTAGAATGGCAATTAAATATAGTGGGATCTGCTCCTTCACTCAATAATAATGAACACACTTCAACTCGAGATTTTGAAGCTGCTTCATGCAGTGGTGTGAATTGCCACAAATCCATTGCATTTACATTAGCACCGTGTTTTATTAGCATTTCAGTCACTTCAAAATGACCATATGAGCAAGCATTATGTAATGGAACCAGACCACTAAAAATTATACAAATTTTAAAATACTTATTTAACCATTTGAAGCATTTAAACCCTAACATTTAAATACCCTTTATCTTTAGCATGAACATCAGCTCCGTTTTTTAACAATAGTTGAACCACTCTTCCCCGATTGTAACCAGCGGCTAAATGCAAAGGAGTTGATCTGCGACCATCACTAGCATGACAATTAACATTAAGAGGATTCAATAAAGTTAAAAGATGATCTTCTGATCCCGATCTGGCAGCCTCAAGTAGCTCTTCCTTTTTGTAATCTCCAGTCAAAACAGGTCGAGTTGATACATCAGCTAATTCTAATGCTGTTTTACCCTCACTGTTTCTTATACTCGGATCAGCACCATTTTGTAACAATGCTATAAATTTTTAAAGAAATGTTATATTGAGCAATTAAATGCCTCAGTGAATTAATATTTATTATTATTACCTATGCAAACATCAATTTTTCCTTTAATAGCTGCTTCATGCAAAGGAGTATAACTCCAATTGTCTCTAGTATTAGGATTAGCACCAGCTTCTAGTAACAATCTTACTACATCAGCATGACCAAATGAGCAAGCATTGTGAAGCGGATGAAGTCCACCATCATCTCTAGCTTGAATCGAAGCTCCAGTCGATAATAAAAATTCTACAACTTCTTTTCTCCCATACCCTAATTTTAATTATTTTTAAACAATAAATCAATAAATAGGAAGCAAATAAATATATTTTTCAAATTCAGCAAGTCAATAAGTAAAATAAATTACATCTTTTTACAAGTTTTTAGAATGAATTAAAAATGTGCAAATTAAAATATTTAAAAAATTGCTTTCAAAAAGAAAATATTTAAAATAAAATTCTATAATTTTAGATTCAGACTCACAAAATAATAAAATTAAGTAATTTAATAAAATTTATAATATTCCATATAAAAAAATTAAGTTTGAATAATATAAATAAAGTACATGGTACATTTTTTACTTGGCTGATTGAAAACAAAGAAATAGAAAAAAAATACTGATATTTAATTGATTTTTAAATTTGGTAAATGAGTTCAAAATAAAAAATTTTAAAAATAATTTAATTGTGAAAAATTGTGACTTTTTTTCTAATCGCGAATCGTCTTTAAAAACCAAAAAGAATCCCAAATTATTGGATAAAAATTTCAAATAATCACACATTTATATAGATAAACTAACCAGCAGCAAAGTGTAATGGTGTAGATTTACGACCCGCTGTGTCTCGAGCGTTGACCGATTGCTGAGAAACTAATTTTTTAACTTTATTTAAATTTCCAGTTTTACATGCTTCAAATAATTCTCTTAACGGATCGCTAGAACTTGTAAGAGATTCAGAAGATCTTGACAAAGTAGACCTCCGACTTGACATCTCACTACACCATTTTGTAATCTGGTTCCACTGCACTTTTCGAACAATCAACCAATGATATTACAAAAAAAAAAAAACTGTGTAAATATTTTCAGCCATAAATTTAAAAATTTGTTTTGATTTAAAATTCAAATAAACCAATTTTATTTTTGAATATATCTTAAATTAAACTCCATTATATTTTTATCGCAAAATTATTCCGTTTTTTATATATGATTAATTAAAAATACCGAAATTAAATCTGAAAAATCCTTAGTTTAAATTTTTTTATTCCTTAAGTTCAAATAATTTCAGTTTAATAATTTTTTATCATTAGTTATTTGTAAAAATATTATTGAGTTTATGTGTTATTAATTAAAAATCAAAAAGAAAAACTAATTTCATCAAGAAATTTATTTTAAAAAAATAAAATAAAAAAATTGAACAATGGGTTTAATAAAATGGTATTATTTTAAAATTATTTAACTTTGAATGAAAATTAAAAAGTAAAGCATTATCATTGTGTGCCATAGTTAGGGGATTTTATAACTTTCATAATAATTTTGCCTCAAGAAATGAAAAAAAAGTGCTCGATAATAAACGGAAAGTTTTACTCCAATTTGAAAGAAGCAAACGATAAAAAAAAAAATTGATTCTTCTTCAAATATTGCAATCATTTTGCAAAAGTAAAAAACTCTATCTATCTAATTAACATTTAAAGTATTAAATGAAATAATGATTTTCAAATTGAAAAATATATCAATAATTTTGTTTTACCATCACAAGTTTAAAAAAAAAAAAAAACTAAAAGATTTAAAATGTCGCAAAGCAAAACTACTAAATGTTATTAGGCTGTAAAATTCAACATAAAAAATATACAAAAAATAAAAGTTGATTTATTTTTTATATATATATATATATATTACATTGAAACTAACATAAAATATTGTAAAAATAATTTTAAAAGTTTGATTATAAACATAAAAATTAATATTAAATTACTCATCATCATCATTTTGAAAAAGTATAAATGATTAATTTTATTTCAAAATATAACTTATCGAATAATTTTAAACATGATGATGATGATGATGATGATGACGATTAAAAAAATAACTTTCCTTTTAAATAATGAAATGAAAATTAAATTTTTTTTAAAAATCATTTAAAATATCACATTTATATAAACATACATTGATAATAATGATAATAATAGTACAATTAAATGATTTAATTTAATTAAAAATAATTAAAAGTCATAAAATTTTGTTATTTAACCGATTTAAATTATTTTTCAATATATATATATATAAAATAAATACATATAATTTAAATCTGAAAATCATAATCGAATAAAATATATATATTAAAAAATAAAACAAATAATTCTCTCTCTCTCTCTCTCTATTTTTTTTGTAAATTTAATTTTAGCTGAGTCAGCATTTTAATTAAAAAAAGAAAAAAAAAAAGGAAAAATGAATCAGATATTGCACTAATTATTAATAAAAAAAAAAGAAATATTTTACCTTATTTTAGTGCAGCATGTGTTTCAATATTTTTAACAAAGTAATAATTAATAATATAATAATAATAATAATAATAATAATAAATCTTAATAAATTAAAATATAATCCAATACTATATATTACAATTATTATTATAAACTATATATACAGTCTGTTGAAGACATTTGGGTTAAATTACAGTATTTATATTGTTTTTAATTGTTTTTTCTTTTTTCAATTTCACAATTTTTTTATTTTTATTTAAGTAAATCAAAAGTTTTTTTAAAAAAAAAATTAGATTTCGCTTTCTTTTCATCCACGTGAGAATATTTAAATAAACACGAGCAATCAGAAAAAAATTGGCTTTTTTCATATATATATATATATATATGCGGAAAATTCAAATTAATTTTTTTTCTCTTTAATTATTTAAATTATTTAATATTGCGTTTGTTAAATTATTATTGGTCTGTAAATTAAAGAAAAAAAAAAAAAAAAAAGATTTTAAAGAGCTAAATGCAATTTTTAGCCAAATCCCAAATTGATCGCACAAATAATCGGTCGGTTACAAATTACTTCAAACCGTCAACTGGATTTCAAATTCCATCACCTGACAACGTTAAATTGACAACGTCGCTGCTGCCGCCACGATCGCCGTCGTCGCCGCCGCCACGACCGCCACCGCCGCCGCTTTAATTATTTCAACCCTGTCAAAAAGAAAAAAAATTATAATTTTGACAAAACAAGAGAAACAATTTTTTGAAATATTTTCTTACTTTTTTTCTTTTTTTTTTTCCCCCTTGTTTTTTTTGTTTGTTTTTTTTTTTTTTTCGTTTCGTTTTTTATATCTCTTTGTTTTAAATATTTAAAATCTCCTAAATTCAATTCGCTTGATTAGCGTCGTTGTCGAATTTTTGAAGCCTTAATTTTCTAATTTCCTCTTGTTTGTCTGACGATACTTTATCATCGTCTTTTTTATTTATAATTTCATCTAACTGAGAGTTTTCCGAACTGATTTGATTTGCCGTATCTGAAACCGTTGCTGAACCAGATGATGACGAAGATGATGATTTACTTGAGCCGGGAGTAGGAGCGGCGGGTACTTTACCAATTGAGCTCGAACTGGATTCTTGATTTGTTGAGCTGCTAGGTTTTTGAACTTTTTTAGCACCACTACTACTACTACTACTACTACTGTAACTGTAAAATATTTTTAAAAAATTATTAAATTATTATTCTTTTTTTTTTTTTCCCACACGGATCGAATTACGATGCTTACATATTTGTTGCTGTGACTGTTGTCATATATTGTTGCATTACAGTAACGGATGCATCGAGTAGTAATTCTATTTGGCGCAAACACTGAAGTCTGGCTTCTATATTTTCCCTGGCATCACCTTCCATTTTTTTCAAATCTTCGTCCGATAGCCCAGAAAAATTTGCAGGAGGCATAGGTGGCGGTGGAACTAATATAAAAAAATTTTACTGAACTTCCTTTTTTTTAAATAAAACTTACAATGTCGTTTTTTTTTTTTTTTTTTATAAATTAAACATACACATTCCAAAAAATGGAGGGGGACAAAAAAAGGGTGGCAGAGAACCCAGCGGAGGAATTTGTCTGCTTTGCCTAGCTTCTGAACTGGAAGTACCCTGTTCACTTTCATTTGGCACTACGGAAGGATTAGCTTCATTTTGATTTCCTACAAACACAAAAAAAAAAGAATTAATTATTTTCTATAAATATTTAACTCAACAAATACGTGAACCAGAATTATAATGTTACCTGATTGTGCTGATTGATGCTGCGGTTGTTGTTGTTGTTGTTGTTGCTGTGGTTGCTGCTGCTGTTGTTGTTGTTGTTGCTGCTGTTGTTGAGGAGTATGAGGAGGTGCGGGAGGAGCTTGTTGCCAAAATGGAAAATTTCCGGGAGCTCCAAATTGAGGAAAAACTTGTTGTGGCTGTGGTGGTGGCATAGGAGGTTGTCCGAAAATTGCACCATTTAGGCCTTGAAAAGGAAATCCAGGCTGGGGTTGTTGGGGAGGAGGAGGAGCAACCCTTGGAGTGTTTGTACGAAGAATATTTAGACGGCAAGTCGGGCAAGTTTGTTGACGTTGAAACCAAGAGCGCAGACATGATGTATGAAAAATGTGGTTGCATGGTAATTTTTTGGAAGCTACAAAATAACAATAAAGATATTCTATATCTTTTTAAACATTGTATTTCATTATGTAAAATATCATACCTGTTGTCATTTCCTCTCTGCAAATAATGCACACATTATCAGCTGCTGCTAATTCTTCTGGAGTAGCATCAGGATACAAGGTATTCATATTTTGAATGGCTCGTCGAGATAAGATAACATCGTTACAAGCCTGTTTAAATTTTCTACAACAAAAAATTTATTTAAATCATTATGAGTAAATAAATTATTATTAGGTAATTAAAAATTTTTTTACCTTATAGTGTAATACATGGGCCTAAATGCAAATAATGGTAAAGTGTATAATCGTACCATTATACCCACAAATGTAACATATAGGAAGACTCTAATGAATCCTATAAAAAATAAATTACCTCATCAATAATATTCACTGAGTGTTATTTTATTCATTGTTATTGTATTTACAATATTATAATTTATTCCCTTTAAAAAGATTTAATTGATTTTTAGTTGATAATTTCATCATCGTAAATAATAGTTGCAAAAAAATATAAGTAAATCAATAGATGATAAAAAGTTTCTGGACTCACCCATAACAACTTCAGTGTAAAGTAAAAATACAGTTTTACTTTCCCATGGATTTTCACTGTTTAAATCAGCTGTGTGTAGTATGTATTTTATAGCAATATTAAGAATTATTGTAGCTAATATAGCATACTCAAAACCGAAAACTAATTGAACTGAAGCTCCTTTGGTAACGGTAGACTGATATGCATGACTAATAAATGATAAATCTAATGAACCAAGTATTACTAACAATGCTAAAAAAATAAAATTAAAATTTAACTATTTAGTAAAAAACAAAATTTTTTTTCAATAAGTTTGCATGAATTTTAAAAAATTTAATCACCTGATACCCTAACATGAAACAGCCAAGATATTACAGGGCTTCTTTCCATCTAAAAGTAAAACAATATTATTCAAAAAAATGTTTGCATTTTATGATGAATTAAATAGTTGTAAGGAAAAAAAAGAAAAAAAAACTGAATTAAACAACAATTAAAATGAAATTCAATATTTCAAATAAAACTTACAAAGTCCACCCTATCTTCTGCTAACCAATGGAATGATTTTAAGAACAATAAAACTGTAAATAATGCTACAAATTTTGGAGTGAAATCATCACGAAATAAAGTAAATGCTAAACAAGTTTCTGTCACTGCATACCAAGATCTTTCCATCAAGTGTTCAAATTCTGCAGCTCTGAGCTCTCCAAAAAATACTTTGCTCATAAGTTTTCCCATTAAATACACTAAAATTAATGCCTGTATGTAAATAACCTGAAATTTTTTTAAATAAAATTTTATTAAGCATACACTCAAGTGATAAATCAAAATACTTATAATTTTGGTTTTACAAAAAAAAAAGTCATTCATTGATTACTACGTCAAATTAAAAAATTTCTAAAATAGTTTTAAAAAAAAAAAAAAATTAAGTGAATTTAATGTACATTTTATTTGACTTGATATACTTTTGCTGACGAAAAAACTCGATCGTTTTCATTAATGGGGTTTAAATTTTAAGAAAAGTCGTACGAAAATAATTTATTTTACATATTTTATATGTTAAATATACTTTTAATAAAGTCTTATCAGTTACTTACAGCCATACTAGGGTTTGATTTAGTAATGTATACAACAGATGGATAGAATTGCTTTTTACGATAATAAGCATTTCCAATAACAGCTGAGGTTAATGCCAAACTTATAAATGTAATTCCTATTGCTCTCATTTTTCCACAGCACGGGTACAAGTTTGAAAAATTTCAAATCACTAAAAATTTAAAACCCAATCCTGAGTATTGTATTTTTCTATAGGTCTCGACAGATGTGCTGCTCTCTGTAAACTGACGTATTCAAAGGAAATCGTTTCCATTGAAAACTTAATAAATTTCACCGCCTTTTAGTAATTTAGTAATTTTTACGAGATATCATCACTAACCGTAATAAGTATTTTTATATTTGTTTCCGAAAAATACAGACCTTTTTCTTTTAAAGACATAAGTTAGAAATAATATATAATTATATTAAAATGTTAAAAATAAATCAAAAAAATATTCCTTTGTCTTCGGACAAGATATATATGTATAAAAGCGAACTTTTATTTTACCTTCATTTATTGGGTGAGCTTATGATAAATATAGAAATATATAAAATAAATATTAAATAACCTCTTACCTTTTCCATACCTTGCCTATCCTATTTCAGATACCGATCCCACAATACAACGTTTTTTAAACTACGATAAATTCTATTGTCTTGCTGACAAATATCTTATAGCTATGGTTTTTATTTATTTTAAAAGAGCCCAACTTTCATTGCAAGATTTTACCCCTTTGAATTTTTTTGCCGGACTGTAAGTTTAATGGCGATAAAATATTATCAATATTTAATTTCTCAAAATAGTCTTAATCAATTAATACAAACCAACATAAATATCATGCATGATATCTTTAAATAATGATAAAATTTTTTTACCCCCCTTTCCAGTTGTTTAGCACAATCTATGGAAGAAGATATTGATCTAAGCTCTGAAATATATCCTTGGGCATTGGGAAAAAATGATGTAGAAAATAAAATAAATAATTTATTAGAAATAAAAAGTCTTTTATGGCAGTTAATGGATCATAGAGCAGCAGTTAGTTATCATTGTTGTAAACAAGTAAGACAAATCATTTTAATTTTATCAATCGAGTGAAATAAATAAAAAAAAAATATATAAAAAAATGTCCAGGTTTTTTTAAATATTTTAATATTACAGCTAATTAAAGTAACTCAAAATCATCCAATATGGCAAAGAGAAAGATCACCATTATTTTTGGAATCATATTTATCTGAAATTGTTCAGAGAAAACCAGAAAAATTAAAAAAAAATATTAGATCATCGAATGGTAGTAAAATGAACATTAATAGTTTTTGATCGAGTATATACAAAAAACTAATTTAATTATTATTATTATTATTATTATTAAGAATAAAACAAATATTTAACTCATTAAAATATTATTTAAAAAAAAAAAAAAAAAACTCGATTTTTTAAACTTTAAACAAAGTAATTAAACTTTATTGTTCTCCTCTTATTATTATTATTATTATTACATTAAAAAAAAACATTATTATTATTATTATTATTATTAAGGAAATTTCACTGATTGATTTGCCAAAACACATCACGGATGTTAAAAGTAATAATAGTAATAATAATCATTTCAATTATTTATTTAAAAAAAAAAAAAACGAGTCGATTTCCCCCCCCCCCCATTACTCATTATTATTATTATTATTATTGGGTTTCTCTCTCTCTCTCTCTCTCTCTCTCTCTTTATTGTAACTTTTACTGAATAGAAACAAAAAAATAAAAAAATTTTTTTATCTTACATAAGGAAGTGGAAAGAGATAAATAATTTTTTTTTTTTTTGTTCCTTTTCCTATATAAAAAGTTATTAATAATAATAATAATTAAAACAAAACAAAACAAAAATTCTTTTCAAATAATTTTATTTATTTATTTTTCATTTTATTTTATTTAAAAATTATTTATTTATTTATGTATGTATGTACAATTTAATAATACATATAATAATATTTAAACCGTTTTTTTTTTTTTTTTTTTTTTTTCGGTCGTGTATTACACAAACAGATCTCTTCTATCATCAATATTATTAATATTATTATTTATTATCATTATCATTTTATTAATTAATATTATTAAATATTATATTTAATAACACAAAAAGAAAAAATTTTCTTACAAACGTAATCAATTTTTTTTTTTTGTAAACAATTCGTATATTTACAATAAAAAATAAAAAATCATAATAAAAAAAAAAAGAATTGTGGGGGGTGGGGGTGGGGAGAAAACAAACAAAAAAAAATTTTGGTCGACAGCTAACTTTTCTACATCTCTCTCTCACACACACACTCTCTCTCTCTCTCTCTCTCTCTCTCTCTCTCTCTCACCATTTAAACAAATAAGAAGAACAAAAAAAAAAAAAAAAAACAATTTTTTTACACAAGCAACAACCAATTAAATAAATTTTTTTATTTATTTAATATTCAATTTAATAATAATAATAATAATCATCATTATTATTTATTTATTTATTTATAATAAAAGGAAAAAATTTTTTTTTGTCAGTTTTAAATAAATAAATAAATAAAAATTAAAAAGAAAATGAAAAGAAAAGAAAAGAAAAAAAGAAAACTTTTAGTACGATTTTGTCCTTTTAATTTATATGTACGGGATTTTCTTTGGATTAAAATTTTTCCACTAGATTACACCTTTGTTTGTTTTGTTTGTTTGTTTGTTTGTTTTAATAACAAAATAATAATAGTATAAACTAGTTATATTATATATATATATGTATATACGTAAAAACCTAAAATCACTTTTTTCTTTGTTCAATACAGGTTTTCATTTTTTATTTTTTTACGAGTTCTTACGCACTCACGCATACAATCACACATGCACTCACTCACAAACACGCACACACGCACACACGTACACGCGCATTTTCATAAAATGCCTGCTTTTTTTGCACGTGTGTGTGCGTGCGTGTACTAGTACGAGTATTCGTACGCACCCATTTATTACAATTGTGTATTTTTCTTCTGCTTCTTCTTCTTCTTCTTTGGATAAGTTAATTTTTTTTAAATAAAAAAAAAATTTTTATCAATATTTTTTTAAAAATTTTGTTTAACAAAACAAAAAAAAATGACGTAACAACTCGGGATTTTCATAATAATAATAATAATAATAACTCTTTTAATCGTCTTCTTTTTTTTCCGGTTTTAAATCGACCATTGCGTGAAGTTCTTCCGGACTGAACCTGAAATTTGATAAATTTGACGCGTAAATTTTTTTTGTTTGCGTCCGTGCGTGCCTGCGTGCGTGGGTGGGAAAAAAAAAAGGTTTTTTGAGTGACTTACCCTAAAAGACTTTGAAGATCACAGACGTAACGGTAGACGTATCTTTTTCCAGCAGTCTTATGAATTATGTTTTTATCATAATAATACCTGAGCCCCCGGCTCAATTTTTCATAGTTCATTTTCGGTTTGTTCTTTCTTATCCCCCATCTCCTCGCTACTTCGTCCGGATCCGTTAATTTGAATTCCCAACCGTCTCCCGTCCACGATATGAATCCCTGACACGTTTTATCCGTTAATAGTTCCAATAAGAACTGCCAAAGTTGTATGGGTCCCGAACCCGTGAAACAAGGTCCCCCGCCTGAATAACCCGCAATCATGGCCGACTGTAGGAATGGCTTCGCCTCACCGTTTTGAAAATCTCTCTGGTATCCCATTAGAAATGCAGGATGAGAATCCTGACCGCTCCAATGTTCACCGTTTACACTGCTAGGAACGGTTTGAAAGGGTCCACCGTCAAATGGAGAACTATATGTTTCGCTATAAGGATCGTGATGAGGATAACGGCCTGGACAAACAAACAAACAAACAGAAATTATGCACTGAATCTCTAACAAATCAATCAATCAATCATTCATTCACTCACCTCTCGAACCGTTTTTCGAATAATGCGCCGGAGAATATTTATTTTCCATAAGAGTTTGCTGTGAATAAAATTCTGGAGAATTTTCTACGTAATGACCCGCGTGATGGCCCCCTTCGAGTCCGTGATATTCGGATTCTTGGTCGAAATGTGTGAAACCTCCTACGGAATGAGATTCGTCCGGGGGCGACGGTCCCGTCGGTCCGGGACCCCCGCCGCTCATTTCGGCATTTCCTATTTGATGCACGGAATCCGTGAGGTGGTGGTGATGGTGGTGGTGGTTGTTGTACGTTCCCTCTTTGTTCAAATAATTTTGAACACGTAGGGGATGTAAAAATCCATTCGAGGAAGGAGAAGAAACTTCGTCCCGACGTTCACCTTCGGGACTCCTCACGTGTGAATTGTATCCTCCTATTAAAAAAAAAAATTCGATGATGATAATAATAATAATTTTCCCTTCTCTATTACTAACAACAGAAATTCTCGCAATTGAAATTTTTCGTTCGTTGAATTTCTTTTTCTTTTTTTTTGAAAAAAAAAAAAAACGTAAACGTAAAAAATCGTTTAAACGAAAAAGTAATAAAATAATAATAATATTAATAATAATAATAATAATAATAATAATAATGATAATGATAATAATACTGTTGGAATATATCATTTTTTTGAAAAATAATTGTATTTTTTTTTTAACAAGGGAATCGCAGAAACAACTCAAGGGTATAAAAAAAAAAAAAAAAAAATTCATTCGAACCAAATATCATTATTATTATCATCATCATCATTATTATTATCATTATTATTATTATTATTACCACTAATAAAAAATAATTTTTTATTTTAAAACAGATCATATGGAAAAAATAAAATTTAAAAAAACTATTAGAAACTAATATTAAGGTTTTTTTTTTCCTTCTCCTTCTTCTTTTTTTCTTTTTCTTTCTCTTCTTCTTCTTCTTCTTCTTGTTCATTTTATTACTCTTTCAATTTGCCATTGCAATAACACAAGGTTAAATAATAATAATAATAAAAAAAACGAAAAGAAAAAAAAAAAGAAAACAGGTATGCAAATCGTATTTTTTTTTTCTACTAAACCCTTCAAAAACCTATTATTTTATTTTTTTTATTAATATCAATTTAAAACGTTTAAACCACGGATAATAAATTTTAATAATAATAATAATAATAATAATAATAATAACAACGATAATGATAATAATTTTTTTTACTAAATTTCGTTCCAGTTTCAAAAAACAAAAACAAAAAAAAAAAATTACATACGACGGATTTAAAATACTACGTCATCATCATCATCATCGCAAAATAAATAAATAAAAAAATTAAATTCCAGTTTTGGAGAAAGAAAAAAAAAAACTGGAATCGTTTTTCTTTACACGACGAGTTATTCGACACCATTTTTTTTTTTATCAACGTATATGATGACAGATATTAAAAAAATTAAAATCATTCGGGGATTCCCCCCTCTCCGCCCCGCCATTTGCCGCGACCTCATAATTTCGCGGTTGTAAAAATTTTCATTTAAAACATAATCATCATCATCATCGACGACAACATCTCAGGTTTAAACAAAAGGAATGTTAAATTCCAGGTATTTAACACCCGGTAGCTTTTCACCAAGAGATGAGAAGAAAGAAAGAAAGAACGGATCACACAACCTAACCAACGACACAACATCCCTCTCTCTCTCTCTCCCTCTCCCTCTCCCTATCTCTCTCTCTCTCTCTCTCTTGCACATTTATTAAGTCACGTATATATTTATTAAACCGAATAAATATTATTTAACTATTTTAAATGCAACATGTTCTACGTAGTATAATTTAATTAAAATATGAAATGATCTCGCGTCCAACGAATATATATATATATATATATATATATATATATATTATATATATTTAAAACAAAAAAAACCCCTCCAGCATTTTTTTTAATAGGATGGATGAAAAAAAAATATTTTTTTACACTCGAGTTTTCCATCCATCCGGATGAAACGTATTCAATATTAATAATAATAATAATAACGCATAAAGTACGCGCGCGTAAATTCTCCTTTTTCAAATTTAAAAAAAAAAAAAAAAAAAAAAAATTGTAAAGTAATAAAATATATATATATAAAAAACCGATGTAATATTTTCACGAGTTCGAATCGAACCATAAAAATTGTTCTAGAATCTTCTTCTTCTTCTTCTTCTGTTAATAATTCGACATTAAAAAATTTATTATTAAATAAACAATAGACTAAATACAAAACAAAGAAGTGGTAGTCATTCAGTCATTCAGTCAGTCAGTCACACGATTCGTGTACAATTAGATAAACACTGGCAGTCATCAGTGAACCTTAAAGACTATTTTCCAGGTACGATTCTATCGTATGTAAAAACAGATGAACAATTTACTAAACAACAAAGAAAAATATATAAAACCGAAACAATTTTCATCCCCTCTTTTTTTTTTCATTTCGTAAAAAAACAAAACTCCCATCTCTCTCTCTCTCTCACACATTTCCCCCCGTTTAAATAAATAAAAAAATTCTTTTATTGTTCTCCTCGTTGAACACGCTTGTTTACGCGCACACGCATACACTCACAACAGTAGAGAGTCCTGCCTGGTCGATGGTTACTACTTTTTTTTTTTTTTTTTGTAAAAATTTTCGTTACGGTTCAAGTACTCAGGTTCTAATCAAGGTTTCCCACTCTCCAGGTTTCTCTTGTGCAATGTGGACAACGTTAATTACAAGGACAAAAAAAAAAAAAAAAAAAAACATTATTTTGCTTTTAACTTCATTTTCTTTTTTTTCCAACCCAAAAAAAAAAAAAAAAAAAATTTAATGACCGCTTCTACTCTATCGTATTGTTCAGTATTATTATTACTTTCTAAAAAAAATCAGGAAGGTTGTGTAAGATTATTATTATTATTATTATTAAAATTTTTTTTTACTCGTCACCATTTTAAAAACGTGAAAATAGAAAAATGAACGTATTTATGTAAAATAATTTAAAAATAAATAAAAAATTTCCTTTGAGCAAAACTAAGTAAACGTACGTGATGGACAATGAGAGAGAGAGAGAGAGAGGGAGAGAATTTTTTTTTTTAATTCATCATCATCATTATTATTATTGTTATTTTTTTTAAATGGAATTTTTGAATAATTTTAAAAAACGAGATTGAATTTTCTTGTAATTAACTCGAACGTAAATCTTTTTTCTCTTTTTTCTCTCTTTTTTTTACGGTTTAACAATAAGAATAGGAATGAATACAAATAATAACCACAAGTACAAAAAAAAAAAAATCATTTTATTTAGTCATATTGAATTAATTCGAAGAAAATAAAAACTCAAACCTATTTTTAATTTTAATTTTAATTTTTTTTTTTCTTTTTTTTCAACGTTACTGAACCGCGACGAAAGCTACAAAAAAAAAAAAAAAAAATTCAACTCTTCCATTTCAACCGACAGGGTCCAGTGAACTTCTGTCATTTTAAGTACTACTCGCGCATGAGAAACATAAAAAAAAAAAGAATACATAAATTTAAATAGACTTTTTATTTTAAAAAAGGGCCCCGAAAAAAAAATAGAGGGAATTTAAGAAACAAAGCAAAAATGAAAAATGAAATGAAAGGAGGTTGAAAAAAAAGAAATATTAAATTCCGATTGGTTGAGTAATAAATGAGGCGGGGCCAAGCGTGAGCCAATCAGGAGGTTTTGAGTTTTATTTAATTCAAAGACTTGCGAGAATCGACAAATGCTATGAAACGACGCTCGCTCTCTCGCTCGCTCGTTTTAATTTCAATTTTTTTTTTCTTTTTAAAGCCCAAATATTTATGTCAAAATAAAAAAATATCATCGTTCGATTTAAACAATGGAATTTTTTTATTTCCTTTGTGTGTTACGACAAAGGAAAAAAAAAACCGACTCGAAAAACGAACACACACACACACAAACTACAATTAAAAAACTTTCTAAATTACTACGACTTTTTCCTTTGAAAAATTTCTCTTTATTAAAAATAGATCTTTATCCTCATCATTCCTTTCCTATTATTATTATTATTATCATTTTCCTTTCTGACGTAAAATAATATTAATTTTTAAAAAAATCATTATTATTATTAATTTTGAGACTCAAATGAAAAAATTGTAGGAAGTTTGTAATTAATCGAAAAAAAAATGGCTACCAAATAACGGTTACTCGTAAGAAAAATAAATGACTTTAAACAATAATAAAAAAAATATCGACAAACGATTGTTATAATTTTTTTTTAATGGAAAAATTTAAATAAACGAACAACAAACAACAAACAACAACCATTTTTTTTTTTTTTCTAATGGTTACCACGAGGTCAGAGAAGCCATTTTAAAAAAATAATCAACATGTTCAAATTTTTTTTTTTTTTTTATACGAGTCATCGTCATATCTTTTGCATAATAAAAAAAATTTTTCCCCGAACGATATTTCGAACATTTCCCCTCCCCCTCTCTCCCCTCTCCTCCTTTTATTAAGAAAAACCGTAAATGAGTAAGTAACAGAGAGAGAGAGAGAGAGAGGGAGAGAGGGGTTTTTCTTATTCGTTTAGAATTATAAGGAATACAATGAGGGGGAGGGGAAAGGGAAGAATTACTGGATACGGTCCTGATTTTAAAATCGGCATCACAGCACACACACACACACACACACATATATGTAAACTTACAAGTTTGAATTTTATATTTGCATTTGAAAAAAAATTTTTTCATTGTAATTCACTTATTTTTATAATATTCCCACGGACAAGACCTGAAACAAGGGGGGTGGGTGGGGTGGGGGGAATCCGAGGTGGGTCATCATTTTTTTTTTTTGGTAGTGAATTGTTGTGTACGATTGAGAATAATGAGTATTAGGGTTTTCATTTCCGGTTAAATTTAATAAGACCTGCCCGAATTATTTTTATTATCGTAGTGAAATCACTTTTTTTATAAAAAAAATTAACGTTTTCAAACGATAAATAAACTTAAATAATAATAATAATAATGACTATAACAAACACCTTCAGTCACCTGCTCCCGATGCGATCAGAAAGAAAAAAAAACAAAAATGGCCGACGCCATATTGTATCCTCGTGCTCAAACGTCCGTTCGTTCAAAATTTATTTATTTTTATTAAGTTCGTCCTTCATCGATCTCATCGAATTTTCTCGATTCTTTTATCCATTTCCGGAAAAAAAATA